ACAGAACTACCTGAACCTCTGACACAGTATGAGAATAACAATGTGGAAAAGATACTCCTCCTGAAGGCCCAACAATCATACAGAAAACATCTTAGAGACTCCCAGAGACTACAAAGCCTCAGGCATGTTTGCCTGCTTAGAGGAAGTGAAGAATCCATTCAAAGAGATATTGTGACCTACAACAAAATACTTGGATTGTTCTCAGACAGATCCACAAGAGCAGCAAGACACCGAAGAGGCAAAAGGCACTTGGTGGAAGATATGGGAAGGCATTTGTATTATGGAGTGAATGAAAGAAAAAAACCTTACAATTAATGTGATCTGCTGACTTGAGTTGCTTTCTCATGATGCTTCAAAATGTCCTTTTCAAGTTGGACTTAGGAAGGCAGGCTCCTCCAACTTAAAAACACATGACTGTCCTTCAGTTGTTAAAATGGAATCTCAAAGACACCAAGTCCCCCTCCAAACTCAGGAGTTGGACTTGACTGTTTTTGGTTTAAATGTCATATTGGGAAGACAGAATAAGAACACAAATGATATTGCACAGGAAGAAATGTGCTGTTGGAGTAAGAACACCATGCCAAGCAAAAACCAGAAAGCAAGCAGGAAGGGCTGGGCACTACTTACTCATGCATATTATCCTAATTACTCAGGAGTCTGAGATCTGTAGGATGGAGGGTCCAAGCCAGCAGGGACGAAAAAGCTAGGTAGACTCTATTTCCAAAATAACCAGCAGAAAGGGTTGGAGGTATGGTTCAAAGTCTCAGTGCCAGGTACCAGGTACCAGTGGCTCACCCCTGTAATCCTAGCTACTCAGGAGGCTGAGATCTGAGGATCAAGGTTCAAAGCCAGACCTCAGCCTGGAAAGGAAAGTTTTTGAGACTCTTATCTCTAATAAACTACTCAAAAAATCTGGAAGTGGGCTGTGACTCAAGTGGTAGAGTGCTAACCTTGAGCAAAAAAAGATCAAGGTCAACACCCAGGCCCAGAGTTCAAACCCCAGGACTAGCAAAAAAAAAGAAAAAAAGCAAGAAAGGAAGAACATCATGGGTTATATAGGCAGAATTCAGTACTAAAAAGCAGGTAGAGACTTTCATAATAACATATAAATAATATTTTAAGTATTACTGCAGATTTCCTTTCAGTTTCTTAATCCCCTATCAATCAACCCAACTGTCTTAAATAAGACAATCTGGTCTTCTCTTTGCCAATATTTGCTAATGAACACTGGATAAGGACATTATATTTCCCAGGACATTATATTTCCAAAATTAAAATAAGAGAAAGCCAGCATTACATGTGCTTCATCCACTACATAAATGCAAATCAGAGCCAAACAAAATTTTCAAAAACACTAACTCACTTTAGGTTTAAGTCAGATAGTGACTGTTCATGTTTCAAGGTTGACAAAACTCCAAGTCCAGTTTTTTCACCATTCTATATAAAACTGTGACAGCTTACAGAACATGAAATTTTAAGTTGGAAAAACTAAGTAGCTAGCTTTCTAAATGCAAAAATGCTTCATAAAAATACCAAAGGTATCCATGGATTCAAAAGTTTTTGCTTTTAATTATCTAGGAATTTGGTGAATATATTGTAATGGATGTCTAAGGAACTGAACATTCAGTATGATCACTGTTCCTATACTATCTTCACGCTTCTATCATTTTAACTCAGCCTCTCAGAACTGTAACAATTACTATCAAATGACAGTATCATACACTATGTTTTCCCTTGTCTTCATAATGTTTGGAAACATGAACAATTCTGAGTCCTTTGTAACTTCTAGGGAAAAAAAACCCACAATCTTAAACAAATAAAAAAGGTAATATATGTTTACAGTCTATATTTTTTTTAGTTGATGATTCATTTCTATTCAACATAGAAATGTTCACAATTTTTCAACCTCTTTTTTTGTTTTTCACATTCCTCATTTAAAAGGCAAATAGGACCAGTGGGCTGGTGATTCACATCTGTGATCTTCTCAGGAAGCTGAGATCTGAAGATCACTGTTGAAAGCCAGCTCACAAAGGACATTCTATGAGACTCTTACATTCAAATTATCCATCAAGAGGCTAAAAGTGAAGCTGTGTATCAAGTGGTAGAACACCAGCGTGGAGTGAAAAAGCTAAGGGACAAGGACCAGGACCTGAGTTCAAGCCCTAGTAAATGGCACCAAAATAATTAATTAATTAAAAATAAAAGACAAATAAGCAAAACAATAACAAGAGGATGGGCTTTTTTCTGCATCTCACATCGTTTATTTGTGGAATTAATGACTGCTAGAAATCAAAAATAAACGAATGAGGTTAGGAAAAAATTCCAACCTCATTGTTTTTTGTTTGTTTTGTTGGTCATGAGGCTTGAACTCTGAGTCTGGGCGCTATCCCTGAGCTCTTCAGCTCAAGGTGAATGCTTTAACACTTGAGCCACAGGGCCACTTCTGGTTTTCTGATGTAATTGAGTTTCATGGGCTTTCCTGCCCCTGCTGGCTTCAAACTGCGATCCTCAGATCTCAGCCTCCTGAGTAGCTAGGATTATAGGCATGAGCCACTGGCACCCAAACAGCCTCATTGTTTACTTCTCAAAGTTTTTGTAATTCCTATGCACAGATCTTCACTTGTTCAACAACCTATGCACTTTCCTTTGTTATTAACATTACTTTATGATTGCACCTTCTCTGGTTTTAGGGAGCTCCCTCAATAACTACCCTTTATGAAAACACTTTATACAGTAACACAAAAAAGTATTTTACTTCCTTCCATGAAGAAAAAACAATGGTCAATATAAGATAAACTAGAGTCTAGCAAGTCACCAACTGTGACAAGATACCAGGTGATCACACAGAAAGGATGGCTCAGTTGACTGGTAACTGAATATGGTATCTTCTTTTCAAGCTGAAGATCTAGGGCAGCGGAAAGAGACTACCTTCGGAAATATTGCTATCTAGACCTTTCTGATACTACAAGGAGGTGCATTCTTGTTGGCACTCAGGCCAGGACAAAGATCAGAATGGCATTCGGTCTTCCATTTCATCACCACTTACTACTCTGGGGATGGGAGACTGAAGTGAAAAACTATTGCTGTAGGGTTTGTACATAGGATTTTTGTAATAATTGCCATAGTATTACAAATATCAGGTATTTAAAGAATCACAAAAGATGTGTAAAAAGCAAGTACCCAGATGTTTGAGACCTGTTTGAGACTCATGAACCAAGTCCCTCAAAATCCCAGAAAAAAAAAAATGAGACATTAAAAAGAAGAGTAGAGTATATGTCTAGGACAAGCAGAAAAGGTCAAAAGCTATGTACATATGACCATATAAGATGATGCTAAGCAAAATGAACCCCAAGATAGAGACACAAGTGGTTTTTTTCTTTCTTGCTATTGTTTTTAACGTATTTATAATGTATTTTTTGTTTCTTTGGTATGTTCCTCCCCCATGGTATAACCCGTTTTCACTATATTTGATTCTGGTGCCCTGCATCTTGTATATACATTTTTCTAATTTGGGGAGGGGAAGGGAAAAAACAAAAAGCTTAAATAGGGATACAGGTTGACCCATTGTAACAATGAGATGTACAAGACATTATGTTGAAAACGAACTTTACAACTTCAGGTATGGCAGGGGGAAAGGAGGAGTTGGGGAGGTGAGGAGGGAAGGGAGGGTAGGGGATAAACAAAGGAGGGGGTTAACAATGCTCCATAGGAAATGTACTTATTACCTTATTCATGTAACTGTAACCCCTCTGTACAGTGTCTTTACAATAATATATATATATATATATATATAATAAAAAAGAGCAGTAGTTGCTAGGGTTGGAGAAAGGGGAATAAACTGGTAGGGTATAGAGAATTAGGACAGAAAATTAGTGTCATCCCATGTATGACACTACAATGATAGACACTTAACATTATTCATTTTCCAAACAGAACACACAACACAGAGTGAACTAATGTGAATGACAAACTCTGAGCGGTAACATGATAATGCTTTGGAACAAATGAACCTCACTGGTGCAAGGTGCTGATAAGGAGACAGATCGTGAACGTATGCGAGCAAGAGAACATATGGAAAAAATCTCCAGACTTTGTGTTTAGCTTTGCTGCAAACTTAAAATTGCTCTAAAAAGAAAAAAAAAAAGTCTTCAAAAATGTCTCAGACAACTAGTCCTGGAATTCTCCCACCTGCTGAAAGAGGAAGAAAAAATCTGTTGGAAAACTTTCACTAGGAGATTCTTGTCAGTGTCTGACGAGTCAGACTCATAAACCACTGCCAGAAAGCCTCATCTCTTAACATTTCCCAAGAAATAAATCTTAAGCTAAAGCTTAAAATTGCCAGGAAATACCCCAAGAGACTCCCCTCTGAGTCTTCAGTCATGTCTCTCTCCAGTGCCCTGGAGTATGCTGACTCAAACAGCAATCTCAGGATTTAGTTATGCATTAGTCTGAAATGTCTGTCTTTATTCATCTATCACTCATCCTCAATTACACAACATTCTTCTCTGGAATTTCTTAGGAAAACAAAGCCACAACCCACTTGATGATTACAATCTAAGTTTAAACAAAAGAATATGACCAAAGACACTTACAAGTCAGACTCCTTTCCATGGACAAAATAAAACTAATATGAACAAAAATCAAGGCTCAGCAAGTGACTAATGTCACACATGTCTCAGCTTCTGTTCAACCACCTGAAATTTTCTTGCACAAAAATATGGCAGAATTGGAGAGAAAAGACTGAAAATGTTCAGATTTTGTAAGTCTAAGTCTTCTTATGAGAAGATGACACATGAGTAGAATGTATTTCATATTTCTTAGGTACTGTTTGCAATTGGCTTGCCTCCAAGCCTCCCTATATTTACCTTGAAAAGATTTCCTGGGGAAGCTGTGAAATAAACATTTTTTGCCAAATGAGGAATAAATGTCTCAAAGAAAAGAAAAAAAAAAAAGCAACTTGAAACACACCACAGCAGAACCAAGCAATTCTCTGCACTTACCTGGGAAAGCATGTGGATTGGGCGACCCTCTCTTAAGGCACTTAGAACAGAGAATGTGCACGGTGTAGTGCAGTCCAGGCCATTCCTGAAGTAGAACATTCAGTTCCTCTACCAAAGGGGTGATGGCTTGCCAGGCGGTCCATATATTTGGTAATGATGCATGGCTGGCAATGGAGAGGGTGTCTGGTTGCAGGACCCCCTTGGCAGGTCTGTAACTCACCACCACCGGAACTTTCCCTCTGTATGCAAAGATCTGAAACTTCCCATCGGATCTGTGTACCACATGGCTGTTGATCTGGACACTGTAGCGTGCAAACAACCCAGGTGGAAAGGTAAAGGGAAAACTATATTCAATCTGCAATTGCTCAGCCACAAAAGACTGCCCAGCTAGGTTGGTCCCATTAATCCAGGCCTCTGCATGAGGTACTTCATTCTGCACATAGCACGGGAACTTGTACCAAGCTGTGGATCCATTCAAAGGCTTGCCCTTCGGCTTGTTGAGGCAATAACAGAGTCCCATCTTCTCCAGCAGACCCAGTAGCAGCTGCAAGTCCTGTTGGGCCTGGACATGAGGCTTAAGCAGCAATCGAATGACATGGGCTGGTAGGAGCCCATGCAACAGAAAGCCTTCCACATAATGATGGAGTTGAGTGGCCCGCAGCAGATCCTGGCTCACAGTGGGTAGAGTCATCACAGGGGAGCTTTCTCCATCACCTTCACCTTCTCCACTGGTCCCCAGGAGCAGTTTATGCAGCAACAAGGAAGCATCCCTCTGAAAGAAGACATTGAGGATGTCGATGAGGCGGGTGAGGTTGTGGAAGACGTGCTCTTTGAGGGCAGGGCTATCTTCAAAGTAGAGCAGCTTGCCGCTCTCATGCAGGTAGGAAAGGGCACTCTGCAGTCGGTCCTCGGTCAGCCCTGCCTGCAGTCCCAGGCGCGCTGAGTCCCACCAGCTCAGCCACAGGCGCTGTGCCTGAGGGGGCTGGAAATGCAACTCTTCCAGCACCTGCCAGGATCGAGGCAGGACCCTATGTAAGTTCGGGAAGATTTCTCGGTGCTCAGCCACGGACAGCAGCTTGTCCCGAAGACGTTGCAATTGGCGGGGATCCCTACAGCTCACAGGCAACACTGGAGAGAGGATCTGCAGCCGGTGGTTGAGCAAGTATTGGAAGTGAGCCTTACGCCGCCTCAGGTTCTTGTCCGAAACCCCGTAATAGGCAGCATGGGGGCTGGCAGAGCGCAGCTCGAAGTCCCGCGCCAGGGCCTCATCCACCACTTGGGCCAGCCGACTGAGGCCTTCGGCATTATGCTTCTCCTGCAGGGCAATCTGACGGTGAATATCCAAGCACTTCTCCTCCAGCTCCCGCTCTCCGCACAGGTCAGCGTGTGTGCCCACTATGCACACCACCGCATGAGGCACCCTGGCCCCTACCCGATGCAAGAAGGAGCCCACCGTGGTGGGAAAGCAGCGTGGCTCGTACGTGGCCAAATTGACCACCAGCACATTCAGGGCCCCTGGGGAAAGGAAGAAGGGCTGGATCACCTCATAGCTTTCATCCCCAGCTAGGTCATACACGATGAACCGCAGGCCCCGGGAGGCATCTGCTGTCCAGCTGGTCACCTCGATGCCCTTGTTCCCAGGGGGAGGAGAAGGTGGGTAGCTCCTCTCCTTGTCCCCTCCTCCTTGGCTGCCCTCCATTCTCTCCTCTGTGAGACAGTGTCGGAGCAAGGTCTTTCCTGCGGCCTTCTGGCCCATCAGGAGCAGCTTGAGGCGAGGCTGCACGGCTGGCTGGGAATGAGCCAGCTCCTTCTGGTAGGCTGCAATGTAGGGGATCCCCTTCATGCAGACCTCGTAGGGGGGCTGGATCAGTGGATTGTCCTTAATCTTCCACAAGCCCACTCGGGAGAGCTGGCCAAAGTTATCAGGCAGCACAGCGATCTGGTTCCCTTGTAACACCAGCTCCTCCAAGCCGGTCAGCTCCACAATGGAGTCCGGCAGGTAACGGATGCGGTTATTATCCAGCCACAAGGTGAGAAGCCGGCTCAGCCCGGAGATAAGGGATGGCACTGAGGTGAGCTGGTTGCGACTAAGGTAGAGCTCCTCCAGACCAGCCAGGGGCAGCAGCGCGGCAGGGAACTCTTCAAAGAGGTTGGACGAGAGGTTGAGCATTTTGAGTCTTTGCAGGCGGCTGAACTGGGCTGGCAGAGCCTGCAGCCCGTTGTTGTCTAACATGAGGCTTTCCAAACTGGCCAGCTCGCAAAAGCCGTTGGGCAAGGTGCCAAGCTCGGCTCCACTCAGCCAGAGGATCTTGAGGCCATGCAGGTTACTGATATCCTCAGGTAGGCCTCGCAGTCGGTTGCTGGACACGTCCAGCTCCTCCAGGGCGGCCAGCTGCAGCAGCTGCGGGGGGAAGGCAGTGAGCTGATTGTGGTCCACGTCGAGGGTGCGCAGGCGGTAGAGGCAGGAGAAGGAGTCCGGCAGGTGCGCCAGCCGGTTGAAGCTGACATCTAGCTCCTCCAGGTGGACGAGGGCGCCCAGCGGGGCAGGCAGGGCGGGCAGCTGATTGTGGCTCAGGTTGAGCTTGCGCAGCTCCCTCAGGGCGCTCACCACCTCGGCGCCCAGCGTGGTCAGCCGGTTGTGGCTCACGTCCAGCTCGGTGAGGTGGTGGCCCAGCTCGGCCACCGCCGGGGGCAGCCGGACGAAGCGGTTTCGGCGCAGGACCAGAACGCGCAAGCTACCCAGAGCCAACCCCAACCCGTCAGGCACCTCCTCCAGCCCGTTGTTCCCCAGGTTCAGCACCTCAATGTCCCCGATGTTGGCCGGCAGTACGAGCTGGGGAGCGTCGGGCGAGTCGAGCTGATCGGCTGCGGCTCCGGCTCCCGGGCAGCCCCCGGCCACGGTGAGGGTGAGCTGGCGCAGGTTGCTCCGCAGCTTCCTGGCGCGCAGGGCGGCGTCCCGCCACAGCCTCGCCGTCTTCAGGTTGCCACAGTCCTTCCCGGCCATGGCGGGACCCGGGCCCGACACCCTCACGCGGGCGCGAGGGCCCGCAGCTGCATGCCGGGCTGTGAACCGGCCGGCGCCCGTCTCCCCGGCCCTCTCGTTCCCGCGGCTCCCGGGCCCCCCACCCCTGGGCGGCGGGGAGCTGTGGGTCCTAGCGCAGCCAGCGGCCAGGCGCCCGCAGCTGGGGGGCGGCGGCGTCGCGAGCAGCTCTGGGGGGCGCCCAGCACGCGGCGTGGAGGGGGGCCTCGGCCGGCGCGGGGTGCGGCTTGCATGCTCCGTCCTCCCGGGCCATGGGCGCGGCGCTCCGGGGGCCCGCGGGGCCGCCGCCCGCCGCCGCGCCGCGGAGGATGCCTGCTCCTCCGCCTGCTGCGCCTCCGGCTCCGCCCGCCTCGCGGCGCCTCGCTTGCCTCACTCCGGCCCCGCTATCCTCGCAGCCGCGGCCCCGCGGCCGGCAGCGTCGTCACCTCCGCGAGCTCCGGGAGGAGGGCGGCGCTGGGCTCCGCGGCGGGCATGCTGCGGGCGCAGGGCCGGGGCGCCGCGGCGGAACCTCCCGGTCTCCGTCTCCCCGGAGCTCGGGCGGGAGCGCGACCGCCGCGTCCCCGGCGCGGAGAGGGCGCGATCGGGAAGCGGCAGCGCCGCCACGTGACCGGCGGAGGCGCCGCGTGTTCCCGGCACCGCCCCGGGAGGGGGAGGGCGGGAGCCCGGAGCGAGCGCCTGGGTGCCGGGCTGGGGGCGCCAGACCCGGGACGCTCGGGCGGAGTGCGCCGTGCCCCTCGCGGGGGGGGGGGGGGGCGGGGGGAGGCGTCCTGGCGGCTGGTCTGGGGTTTCAGGGCTCTCCCGGGTGGGTTCGCCGGCGTCTGGCTCTTTGTTGGCGCTCCTGTCTCCAAGGATCCCCACCCCAACACATAGTGTTCACTGGCTTCCCTTAGTCTTTACCTGCTTCCCCTTCCAAACACCTTACATTCATCCACACCGAAATGGAACAGGCAAGATTCGGGGACTGGGTTCCTTGATAGACGCTTAGGATGGTAGGATGATTAAACAAAAGACGGGGGGGGGGGGGGGGGGGGAAGCAGGCCACTACCATTCATTCGTTTGGTAAATGTTTATTGCTCACCTATTATGTCCCCGACCCCTAGCGTAAGCTCTGAGGAGGCACTTCCCTGGCCTAATGTGGATGGCAGAGGTGGGGGGGGGGGGGGGCAATGCAAGGTGTTTGATCTTGGCCTATCCCTTTATCTTCACAGCCACAGTGTGAAACAAATACCACTGCCCTCTCAGTATAGTACCTGTTGTTCTGTAGGCTCAAGAAAATGACAGCTTGTTTCATGCAAACACTACTCCCTTCGGAGGTTTACCTTTCTTTGATTTCTTCAGAATTTGCCAAAGCCTGTGACTTTTTTCATCTCCATCACATCATTGCTTCCCTGGTGGTTCCTCATGAATGGAATCCTCTCCCTCCCCCCTGACCCCACCCCCGTGGAGGCCGAACTACACTTAATTGGTTAAATACACCACTTCACACATTGCAGCTCTACCCCACACTGTGGTCATTTGAGGACTATTTGCAGCACAGTTATTTGAGTAGCATAGTCTGTCTCTTCAAAGAGAGTAACTCAGTGATGGTTATCAGCCTTGGCCTGCATCCTGTAACTGGAGGATGTTCCCATGGTCAGATTTCAACTTGACACCTCAGGAGAAACATAGGTAAGTAATTCCACAGCCACAGCTGATCTATAGTTACTCGAAAGAACTTCTTGGGAAATTAAATTGTATAAGGATTCCCTGCTATCCTCTCAGACACGGTCCGGAATTTATTTACAAGAAAAATTCTAAGATACAAAGGCTGACATTGTTTTCTTCACAGAGGTAGAAAAGGGTCCAAAGACAGTAAATGACTTTGCAATCTGTGGGGGAATTAAGGGTGGAGAGGTATGCTGGCTCTTCTGGTGGGATGGCGCAGTAGCCTCAAGCTTGATTGGAGAGTGTTATAATCTGGGCTGTCCCCAGCAGCCCATGTGTTAAAGGTTTAGTGCCTAGCATGGTGCTGGTGGAAACATTAAAAAGTAGGACTTTAGGGAGGAAATTAGGTTACTGGTGTCCTCCAAGATGACAATGGAAGGCTTTCTCTTCCTCTCCCTCTTTTCCTGGCTGCCATAGGTGAGCAACTTGCTCTAACACAGGTTCCCCACCATAATATGATACCTTAACAAAGACCCAAAAGCAACACTGCCAATAAGTCACCGGCTATAAGCCAAAATAAACCTTTTTTTCTCTTCATAAATTAGTAGTAACAACTTTCCATTACAGTACAGAAATCTGACTAACACAAGGCAGAAGAGGCCACATTTCAAAGTAATTCAAAGGGAATTACTCATGAGCCTGAGGATTATGCACTGGGCTTGACTGTAGCTGGATGCCCACATGACGCCACTGGTACTCTTGCCCAGGCCCTAAAAAATGGTAAGCTCTTCCTAAAACAACAATAGCAACAGCAACAACAACAAAGCAATCATCTCAGTTTTGAGAACAGGGACTCTGGTCATTAAATGTCTTGGCTTAGACATTGACTCAATGTCAAAAACCTAATCTATAAATTTTTCAAAACCTGGCCAGCCTTTAAATTTATCTTGTTCTTCTTACACTGTTATCATTTAAGCTGCTGTAATAATGTCTCATACATACTGGCTTCATCCTTCAGTCCAGCCCTCTGCAGGGGTCAGGAAGAATGTATATGAAGAGACAGTGCCTTGAGCCAGGAATTACGCAACTTGGAAAGAGATTAAGAGAGGAAAATCCTGTACATTGTAGATGAGGGTCCTCCATTTACACATCTTCAAATCAATCTGAAACAGGAGGAAAGTATGCAGGAGTATTTTGATGTTATCCCTTGCTAAGACTAGCAACAAGCTCGAGGTGAGCTTTCATGGCTATTTTCTTTTGCTCTGGCTTCAACATACTCACCTTTCCTCCATCCTGAAAGATTTCTCCTGTTAATACCCTGGCTTTGGCCACATTGTCTCATTTCCTTTCCTTGTAAAATAGCTTACAGAGGTGCTCTAGATGTGCCAGACTCCTCTCTCTGGTTCCTTCCTGAGACCCAGGAGCCTGGCTTCCATACCTCCATACCCTTCATGACATCATCCGGGCTCTCTCACCTCAGCCCCTTTCTCCTCAGGAACCTCCCATCATTAACAACAGTGAATGTTCTATGGAAAAATTGTCTTCCTTTGGAAATATTTACCTTTCTTGGCCTGTGGCATGTTAGGTGCTCTCTCTCTCTCTCTCTCTCTCTCTCTCTCTCTCTCTCTCTCTCTCTCTCTCTCTCTCTCTCTCTCATGCAGGTACTGGGCATTGTCCCTGAGCTTCTTTTGCGCAAGGCTAATGCTCTACCACTTGAACCACAGCACCATTTCCATTAAATGTTGCTTTAATGTGTAGGTTTAAAAAAAAAAGTCTTGTAAAGGCTAATTATTTTTCCTAGGTATCAGGTTTGCAACTAGAATAAATATTACCAAATGATCACCTGTAACTACACAAGCAAATAGGCCATGGCTTACCTAGATATGGACAGCTTCTTGTGACAGCATTGAGCTACTACATGTTTCTACTTACATTATTATTATATTAAAGATATATAATTCTGAAGATCATATAAGCACTCTTTTCCACTTAGTTTTAATTTTGTCAATCACAGGCAACCCAATATCCCCATTTGCAAAAGACTCAGGTATTTCCCAGGTTGGAAGACACTGTGTTCTTAAAATCAGGTTTCCTTAAAACTAGAAAATGAGGGCTGGGAAGGTGGCTTAGTGGTAGAGTGCTTGCCTTGCATGAATGAGTCCTTGGGTTCGATTCCTCAGCACCACATAAGCAGATAAAGCTGGAAGTGGCGCTGTGGCTCAAGTGGTAGAGCACTAGCCTTGAGCTGAAGAGCTGAGGGACAGCACCCAGGCCCAGAATTCAGGCCCCACGACAGGCAAAAAGTAAAACAAAACAAAATAAAAAACTAGAAAATGAATATAGTTAGTTCACTTACTGGGTCTTTTCAGAGACCTTTACCTTGTTCTTCTTTCATCTTCATGAAATATAACACTTTCACTTGATTGAATAGCTTTAAACTTTCTATCTCTGATTTCCTTTATTTAGCTGCTTAGAGAAGACATTTGTGGGCTGGAGGTTCTAAACAATTTTGTAATATAGAAACTACCTGTCTGGTCATGAAAGAAAATTTGGCAGTCCCTTAACCCTGCAAGCACAAAGGGTTGAGTTACAGTGCTTCATGAGAAAATAAACTTGAACTCTCCCTCAAGTTTGGAGATGTTTTGTTTTTAGCATGATGTGGAGTGAAGTTGCCCACATTTCTCCTCTCTTGAAATTTTATATCCTGCCAATAATTTGCTTTGAATGAGCAAAAATAACTGTGCTTCTTCCTATCCAGCTAAAGACAACTAAGAAACTCTCACCTCTGTGATTTTGAGTAGGCCATGCCCTCCTTGGTTTAACTATATAGAGTGGTGGAATTCAGGGAAAAAACAGAATATCCTTCTATAGGATTTGTAGATATCCCTCTAAAAGATTTTCTTTGTTCCAAAAAAATAGGATTAGAAATAAATCTTAAACCACACTAAAGCTACCAGCACAACTATGTTTATTGTAGCATTATTTACCATAGCTAAGATATGGAACCAACCCAGATGCCCCTCAGTAGATGAATGGATCAAGAAAATGTGGTATATATACACAATGGAATTCTATGCCTCCATCAGAAAGAATGACATTTCCCCATTTGTTAGGAAATGGAAAGGCTTGGAAAAAATTATATTAAGTGAAGTAAGCCAGCCCCAAAGAAACATAGGTCCCATGGTTTCCCTTATTTGCAATATCTAGTATAGGTATGAGTCAAGCGGAAAAAGTCAGATAATGTGATGTTAGGAAAACGAACCCTCAAATATATATTTTAATGTTTTTGTTTCTTTCATGCATGTGTTTCTAACGCATTTATAAGATTATTTCTTTGTTGCTTAGTATGTCCCTCCCCCACAGTGTAACCCCCGCTTTCACTATATTTGATGTCAATATAACATGTGGAGGAGATGGGGACAAACAAGTCGTTTAAGGATTCAGGTGGACCTGTTGCAACAATGAGAAGTACAAAATGTCATGTCAAAACCAGCTTTACAATGTCGGTGGGGGGGGGAGGTGGGGTATGATTGGGTGGGGGGGAGGGGGGAGGCTGGGAAGGGAGGTGAAGGGTAAACAAAGGAGGAGGCTGCAATGCTTGGTAAGAAATGTATGCATTATCCTGCCCATGTAATTGTAACCCCTCTGTACAGTATGTTCTCAAATAAAATAAAATAAAATTTAAAAAAAAAAAAAAAAGAAAGAAATCTTAAAAGGTAACATCGGGCCCATGCAGTAGCTCACAAGTGTAATTCCAGCTACTTGGGAGGTGGAGAATTGTAGTTCAAGGCCATCCTTGTCAAAAAATCAAGAGACATCATCTCAAATAGTACTTGAACATCATGGTTCATGCTTATCATCCACCTATGTGGGAAGCAAAAATAGAAGAATTGTGGTCTAGGCTGGTACCAGCATAAACTGGAGACTCAGTCCACAAAA